GGAGGGAGGGAGGGAGAGGAAGGGACAGAAAGGGAGGGAGAGAGGAAGGGAGGGAGAGAGGAAGGGAGAGGGAGGGAGAGAGGGAGGGAGGGGAGAGAGAAAGGAAGGGAGAGAAAGAGGGAGGGAGAGAAAGGAAGGGAGAGAGAAAGGGAGGGAGGGAGAGGGAGGGAGGAGAGAGAGACCTCTGGGACCACAGGCCCTTCCAAAGCTGGAGCCCTTCAAACTTGGGGGGGGGGCTGCAGCCCCTCTGTTTTCAAAGGCCAAAGTCCACCTGGGAGGTGAAGGGCATGTGACACACACAGACACCCCCGGGACGCTGCAACCGTCATAAATGCGAACCAGTTGCCAAGCGTCTGAACTCGGATCACGGGACCCCGTGGGGATGCGGCCCCTCTTCCCTCTTTAGTGTATAGGGGGGCCCCCAGGAAAAGTGTGTTTTCCTTTGAACCCCATTAGGGGGTTCAGAGTACCCCATCAAACACCTTTCTCCCAAGATCTGCCTGGGAGGAAAGGAGAGGCGCAGCAGGGAAACCGAGGCGTAGCAGGAAGAGATCAGGGTGTGTGTGTGTGTTCTTTGCCTGGAGATGGGGGCCCTCTACCCAAGAGGGGAGGCCTGACCCTCCCTCCCCCCCCTCCTCTCCCTCCCACAGCACTGCGAGTTCCGCATGCGGGGCCATTACCACTGCCTCCGCCCCGGCTGCTTCTTCGTCACCAACATCACCACCAAGCTGCCCTGGCACGTGAAGAAGCACGAGAAGGCCGAGCGAAGGGCCGCCAACGGGTTCAAGTACTTCACCAAGCGGGAAGAATGCGGCAGGCCGGGTAAGCGGCCGGGACGGGGTCCCCCCATCATGAGCCTCCACGCTCGGCTTTCCTTCCAGCTTCTGGGAAGGTTAAGCAAGTTTTTCAATGTCGTTTTATTCCGCTTGAATTCCTCCCTTCAATCTGGGGCTCCTTCCCTGAGAAGCAGCTGGGACTCAAACGTTAAAGTCCCGCGCTGCCACGCCCGGGCAAGGTCGAGCCCCCCGTCCGTCTTTCCTCCTCCAGCCCTTCTTCGACCCTCCTGGCCGTCAGATCCTGAGGGGGGGGGAGGGGAGGAAACAATTGGAAACCGCTCCACCAGTCCTTACTAGTCCTTGGTACCCAGTGCCCCGTTTTCCTGGCAAGCCCCCCCTCCCCTGGGGATATCCCAGGATAGAAATAGGCTCCCATTTCCCCAGAGGGCCCTGCCTTAGGCGTGGGTTCTGCTGGCAAGCGAGGGTGGCCCTGCCCTTTTCTGATGCCAACTCCCTGGTGAAGCAGCGGCACATCAAAGCGCCCAAACTGCGCGGAGGCAGCGGGTGTGGCTGGCAGCTGGGTTTGCCAGTCACAAAGGCCGGGCCAGCACCTCTCCCAGTTCCTCTAGCAGTTCAAATAAGGGAGCCCCGGTGGCAGTGCCCGGATAGGTTGCCCACCTGGAGACCCTTCTGCTCCGGTGGTGTGTGGGAGCAGCCAACGGGAGCCTGGCCTGTCTTGGCCTTCCCCGGTCATTTCACCGAAGTTCGGCGTCCCTTGGGCTACGGCTGCTTCTGGGTCTTCCCCCCCCCTTGGCTGCACAGCTTCGGCAGCAGAAAGCCTGGGGGGGGACGGTGTTTCAGTCCTGAGCCCCCCGCCCCAAACGGCAACCGTACTTTCTCCCGCCACCTCTGGATCCCGGAGGGAACTGGAACTGCCCTTCGCGTGCCTGGCACCCTCGCCCCTCCTGAACGCCACTCCAGGCTGTGGATGGGACACAAGGGATACGCACAAAAGCACCCCAGAAGATTCAAAGGGGAAAAAAATGACTCCATTTTGTAGTTCCAAAAAGCAACTGGACTTTCTTGGTGAAAACATTTCACTTTTCATTTCTTCAGTTCTGGAGGGGGGGAAAATAAATAAATAAAAAGAAAGTCCAGTTATCTTTTGGAAAAGCACCAAGAAGAGGTGTGTGTGTGTGTGTGAGGGGGTCACATTATTCTCCAAAGCACCTGAAGGCAGGACACGAAACAACGGGTGGAAACTAATCAAGGAGAGAAGCAAGCTGGAACGAAGGAGACACACTTCCTAATGGTCTTAACCAGTGGAACTGCTTGCCACCAGAAGTTGTGGAGGCTTTTGAGAAGAGACTAGACAGCCCCCTTCTCTGAAATGGTATAGGTCCTCCTGCTTGAGCAAGGGGCTGGACTAGAAGACCTCCAAGGTCCCTTCCAGCTCTATTCTCTAACCATGACCTGGATGGTTGAGTGTCTCCATAAACTCCCTTTTATAGTTCATCAATTTAGGCCGGGATGACAGCAAGGCACAGGCTGTAACCAGGTCAACCAACAACAAGGGCCCGGGGCCACCCCCTCACCTGGCTTCTGGCTCAGGAATGCCAAGAGGCTTGGCTGCCATCCGGCACATCACCGGGGCCACCCAAAACCGTCCGGTGACACCCGACACTCAACTCTCCTGGCAACGGGCAAGCCTTGGCCTGCCTGCCTGCCTGCCTGCTGTCCGTCATCTCAGTCTCACCCCCAGCAGAGCAGAGGGCAGGAAGGCTGGGGAAGGGCAGGGCTGGGGGGGGGCATTGTGTGTGTGGGGGGGGGGGAGGAGAGGTTCCCCAGAAATGCCAGCTTGGTAATGCCCTCCTAGTTGCAACGTTCGCTTTGCAGGCTGACTCGTGAGCAGAACGTGGCTTAAAGAGCCCGTGGTCGCTGCGTTCATTAATGTATCCCTCTGCCCCCCCCAAAAAAACACTCAAGTCCATCTGCAGTGGGGTGGGGAACCACAGAGGAGGCCTTTTACGCCCCTCTTTCCGCCAGCAGGTTACATTTGAAAGCAGCTCTAGCTCCGGGGTGGCATTAGAGCCTGTCAGGTTTTGGGGTGGGGGGGGAGATCTGGGGGGGAACCACGGACGGCTGTTGCCTGTTTTTTAACCTCCGCTGCTTTTTAATTGATGGCTTTATTATGCTGCTTCTGACGAGATGTATATGGATTTTGGATTTTATTTGTGTTTTCATTGTATGTCATGCTGGGAGAGTATTTGCTATAAGGCAACTAATAAATCTTGGAAATAATTAAATAAAAGTTATAGCGGGCGGCATCGAAGAGGGGCCCCCCTCCCTCCCTCCCTCTCTCTCTCTCTGTCTGTCTCTCCCGCCTGTGGAAAACAAGGAATGCCACTTTGAAGACGGCCCCTGGCATCGGCAATTTTCATAAATTTCAAACGGCTTTCCAATTAAGCCCTTTAAAAAACTGATCAGTTTTAATTTGTTCAACCTGCCAATTAATAAATTAAGTGCGGGCGGCTTTGACTTCGGTCTCTCTGTAACAGTCATTTGGGTTATCTGGGAGACGTCCCCCTCGGTCTCCGGTTGACCTTCGCATCCTCCTCCGCAAAGGAGACGGGCGGCTTCAGGGGGGGGTGTCATTGCTCAGCCTGGGCCCCTCTAGGGCTGGACCACAGGCAGTCTCCCTTCCAGGGACCTCCCCGCTTGTTCCACTTCTGGGGAGGGGAGGCATCCCCGACCGCCCCCTTCGGATGCTCTGCAAAGACGGGGAGGCAAATTCTCAGCAGAGGAAGAGTTTAATGCCCGAATTGCGGAAGACCAAGTGCCAAAGTGGGGGTCCCAGCCTCCCCCCACGGCAACCCCCATCGCTATGGGGCAAAGGCCCTCTCCTCCCTCGGAGAGCCTCCCTTTGGGGTTCTAGATCGGCTATGGGGAACCGCTCCGGATCTCTTCCCTCCTGGCCTTGCATCAAGAGCAGCGTCTGGGGTACGTCTACTCCCGACTCCCCGTTGTTGGTTGCCGGCTTTGTGCGATTTGCGACTCTCTTCCTGTTTCCTCCCAGGCTGCAAATACAACCAGGTCAACAGCCACTTCCATTGCATCCGCGAGGGCTGCCAGTTCTCCTTCTTGCTCAAGCATCAGATGACATCCCACGCCAGGAAGCACATGAGAAGGATGCTGGGGAAGAACTTTGACCGCGTCCCCACTCAGGTGACTGTCCCGGAGGGTCGCTTCTGCTCGGCTTCCATGTTTTCGGCGGCGGCACTTGGGAAGCACGGAAGGCTCGGGCTGTGGGGCTCCCCACAGGTGGCCCTCTGGCATCCTGGCCCACCTCGAGGGGGCGGGTAGGAGAAGGAGCAGCTTCTCCCGAAGGGTTGATATCCCTCAGGACCACCTGGGGCCGCTTTGGGAGGGACGCCGCCGCCCTCCCCCCCCAAATCTCCCGGTGCCTGGACTCGAACATACGTCTGGTTGGAACGAAATAAAATTCAATTAGAGCGAAAGAAATTAAATGCGGCTTAATGGGATTGCCACCCGTGCGCTTAACTGACTTTTCCCTCATGTGAGATTAAAAGTCACAATTCCTCAGCGGTTTCTCACGGGCCTCTAGAGGGGCAAACCCAGCACGCCCCCCCTCCAAGTTTCAGGAGCGCAACACAATCCAGGGCTGTGGATTGTCGCCTCCTCCGCCTCGGCTCCTTTCCTGCAGATGGAGGGCTGCTTTGCAGCATCTCCTGTGCCCCCCCTCCCTCCCTCCCAG